CGTGGCACAGAGGGCTCCCGGTTGAAGCCCTGGCACACGCTTCCAACGTCATCTGAGGCTTTCAAGCATCGTGTTAAGTCATTTTCTGCAGGCCACCAGTGTCACGCTTAGGAACAGAACATGGGGCGGGCGAGGGAGGAGCTGAGCTGAGGTCCTCCTGCAGACTGTGCCTGCCTAATCGCACCCGAGTTCACCTCCTCAGTAGAAGATGCCTGCGTTAGCCCATGTAACTGAGTTTTTCCAAGGCTTCTGGAAGCCAAGGCAGCTTATTTTAAGATAATACAAAAAGCAGACATCTGCCCTCTCACCTCAGAAGGTGGAACATACGGGGTGTTATCCGCAAGGACACCACCACAAGCGAAATAACCAGAGGGAGGTACGGAATTCCCTCCTGAAGAAACCCCACAAGATGCTGAACCAAAAGTTTCTATCTTTCATTCAAACACTCTTGGGCACCTTTGCAAACACTGTTCTAAGCCCCTTCCAAACCAAGCAGCAGAGAGCAGGAGTGCAGTCAGGAGGCTCCCACGGGACTTCTCAGCTTGAAAAATGCAAGAACTGTGTGTGGAACTTTGTTCCACTACGACTTTTTTCCAGTGTCAGCCCTGCACCAGCCCAGCACTGCAGCTACTGAACTTTTAGACTGCAGGTGCCACACAGTCACCCAAGTGCTTGACCAGCTGCGCTGCTCATCTCTTTTTTGGCCAAACAGATGAAAAAAAGAACAGTGGTTTAGTCATAAATACTTCTTTGTCACACTATGGACCAAACTTCAGTACTGTCTGTAAAAGAACATGCCTCATTCACGCTCGACGTTAACGAGCAACAATAAAAGCCCTTAATCAAACAGTAATTTCACACATCAATTAAGAAAAAATTAAATGAGGGAATAGGATCTGTATGATTTAGCTCTGCTTGAACATTTGATTCTTTTAATCTAAAAACAAAACATGAATAAAGCTCTAGCACCTTACTTAAAGTAAACCTATACAGCTTGTGTTCTACACTATTGCATCCCACTGGTAAGTAAAGCTGAAAGTACCAGACAAAAAGGAAATGAGAGCTTACAGAATCTTTTCCAGGTCGTTTTTTAGTAGGAGATTTATGTTTGGATTCAGATCTTTGTCTAGCTCTATCCTTTTCGCTTTCTCTCTCTCTTTCTTTTTTGTCTTTTTCTCGTTCGAGATCTGATTCTGGCGAATCCTGTGTAAATAAAAAATAATTAAATATTGATATTAAATATCTTAATTTATAGAATGTCCACACCTCAGAAGAGTCTGACTCCATTTCACTATAGGCCACATTAGAAAAACTGTTTAAAGTGGTTACTAATTGAACACCCCTATTAACCACAGCAAGTAAGTAACACAAAGTGATTTGAAAGGAGAGAGGTTTGTTTAACACAGAATAACTTTCACCATTCCCAGTGCGTGCAAAGGCAGGGCACGCTGCATTCCATACAACACAGCTCTTCTGGGCACAACTGTTATTCCTGCAGTAACATCTCTGGAAACGGTGAAATCTGGGAAACATTTTTCCATTACACGGCTGTTGTTTTGCAGCCAACAAGAGGTCAGACACCCAAGCTTCTTTCTTTACCCGGGACAAAAAAAAAAAAAAAAAAAAAAAAATATTCTTTGGCCTCAACCGATACAGAGTGAAAGCTCTTTCTGCTCCTAAAGTCCCTTGGATGCTCCAGTACATTCCATATCAGAGCTTCCAATACAACTCTGACAACTCAAGTAGGCAAAAGGAACAATGCTTACGGAAAAGACAACTGGGATTCTTCCCAGCTCTCCACAGTCAGTAAAAGTGAGCGCCAAGATTTGCCATGACAAACAGCAAACATCAGGCTGCGAGTACAGTCCTTCACACCTGCTTGCACGGTTGCAGTTGAAACTCCTGAATTTAGCATCTTAAATGGTTTAATATTAAGATATATGTAACAGAAAGCTACTATGCTGCCAATACCCTCCTCCAGTCTGATCCCACACAGTCCCTGTTCCAAAGACAGCTGGATGATTACAGATCCCCAAAAAGGATTACTGAAACTGTGAGGTGTCGAGTTGTCCATCAGCCAACCCAAAAAAGTTAACTGCACTTACGGACTTATGCCTTCTCTTCTTGCTCTTTTTCTTGTGTTTTTTTGACTTCTTGTAACTTCTCTCTGCAGATATAGGAAGAAACAAAAATACATCAATAAAGTTACAAAAGACTCAGCAATAAACCAGCAACACTAAAAAGAAACAAACAACAAAAAATCTCGTACCAGATTCTGCACTGGAAGAACGCTCAGAAACTGATCTGGATTCTGAGCGCTGCCTTTTCTTCTTGGAATGGCTATCATCATCCTCAGACTCGGAGCCCTTTGGATGCAAACCCCACGTGGTTAGCAAGACGACAGCATCAGGAAGAGTTACAGAGGCAGATTAAGACACCACGCAACACCTTACCGAACGAGAACGTGATCGCTTCCTGTGATGTTTTTTAGACTTTTTAGAATGTTTCTTGTTCTTTGAGTGATGATGCTGACACTCGTGCTAGAGTACAAGAGAAGGCAAACGTTATAACCGGCGTACAGGACACAGCCAGAAACTGTAGTGAAGTTTCTCCTTGTCCACAAAGGCATCTATGGCTAGCAGTGGTTAAAAACCAAATAAATCATGCATTTATTGTGTCGAAACAGCTACCAGTACTGCCATGTTAAAGTTGTAGTAACAACCACCTAGGAGCAAGGAAACATACAGCTTTAGGTATGGATGCACGTAGCTTCTACTCCCTGGATCCCTGTTTTAATGCTTCCAACTGAAAGCCCCTGCTCGAGAGGGCCTAGAATACACTGCGCACCCTGCTTTGCCAAATCTCAGATGCTGAAGTCAAGACATTTGGAAAACTCTTACAAACTCCAGAAAACAAAACAAAAAGACCCCAAGAGCATGTGGTGCAAAATCAAATCTCATGTTACCTAGGAAAAACCAGCACCTTCCTCAACAAGAACAACTGGTCAAAAGTCTGCAGCTGAACTCTTACTGCGGCCCATCCACAAACGAAGAATGAAACTGAACTACATCATCCCTTTGGCACAAGAAAAAAAAAATTGGCTACAGGAAAACCCACAAGAAACAGTACATCTGCAGAGCTTAGTAGATTTGTAGGGAATAAAATACTGCAGAAAGTCTCTTTCCAATTTCATCGTGTTTTGTATGAAATCCCAGCAATAAACAATTTCTCTAAAATAAACCAGGACATTTTGATGTTAACTTCCAAAAATTCTTGCAGGGAAACAGATTAAAAGAACAACTATGTATCAAATAACTGTAACATGTTCTTCAGTCCCTTACTTTCAAGCTCATCCATGACTTTTAGGTAACACACAATGTCCACTGCAACAGGAATCGGTACAATTCTGTTAAATCCCTCTCCCTTCCCACACAATTTCAGAGCCAATCAACTAAGATTTCTTTTGTATATTCTCTAACCAGGAAAAAATAAAGTAATAATTACCTCTAGTACATGCATGAAATCTTTAAATATTCTTTTTCTTTCAGACTCCAGAGTGATGTCTTCGAATGCTGGTTCCTTCACAAACCTCTCTCTGATCTGTAAGCAAACCAGCAATGAAATACCGATATGAAATACAGAAATAAATATAATACAGAAATAAATATTCAGAAATACAGAAATGAATAAATATTCAGAAATAAAAATCATGATTAAAAAAAGACACGATTTCACCAGTCGAAAAAGCCACTGTACTGTTACAAAGCTGAACTTTTTTTATGCCAGCTTCACAACCAAAACAGCCTTCAGTAAAACTGTAACAGAGGCACGCAGAGTCAGACTGGTTTTTGCTGCAGGTGTCTTTTAGTCCATGCAAGCTTACATCCATGCTTTAACAAAGTGTGCTGTGAGAGGAAAGATTTTTAAAGGTTATCTTAACCAGAACAAAGCTATAGACTTTTAACCAAGAAGAGTGCTTTATATCCATTTAAATCAAGTTTGGGGGCTCCAGGGAGACCTTCCAGCAGCCTGCCAGCACCTAACGGGGGCCTACAGGAAAGCTGGAGAGGGACTTTTTACAAGGGTGTGTAGTGACAGGACAAGGGGAAATGGATTTAAACTTAAAGAGGAGAGATTTAGATTAGAGATAAGGAAGAAATTTTTCACTCGGAGGGTGGTGAGGCACTGGCACAGGTTGCCCAGAGAAGCTGTGGCTGCCCCATCCCTGGAAGTGTTCAAGGCCAGGTTGGATGGGGCTTTGGGCAACCTGGTGTAGTGGAGGGTGTCCCTGCCCATGGCAGGGGGGTTGGAACTAGATGATCTTTGAGGTCCCTTCCAACCCAAACCATTCTGTGATTCTATGATTCTGGTTGGTTGGTTGGGTTTATGTTTTTTTTGTTTTGTTTTAAATTGTATTGAAACAAAAGTATCAATAGAATGAGTTATACACATCAAATTTCAAGTTTTACTGATTGGTTGGGTTTATGGTTTTTTTGTTTTGTTTTGTTTTAAACTGTATTGAAACAAAAGTATCAATAGAATCAGTTATACACATCAAATTTCAAGTTTTACTGAAGAAATTGTAACATTTTTAGGGGTCTAAGTTATATAAACAGAAACACTAAGAGCTTGGAGAATTGAAGTTGACTTCTAAAAGCGTTAGCACGCAGCAGCCTGTTAAATGCACTTGGAAAGACTTTGAAATTGAAGTGACAATACGTACATCTTCCCAGACAGCGTCCAGTTCAATTGGAGGTGTAGCCTGCTTCAACATGCTCTTGAAGGCAGACTCTTTCCGCTTCATTTTGCGAGCTTCTTCTTTTTCCCTCTCTCTTTCACGAGCTTCTGCCTTTTCTAGCAGCTGTATCGAACAAAAGTTGTGAGATCGTTTGAAAGACATCAAAATGGAAGACTAATAATTCAGCTTAATGCAATTTTTGGGAAGCCCAACACCAGTTTACATTTAGCTTTCTACTAGTCACTTGGGCATACAGGAAAATTAACTAATTAGTTACTCTTAACGCATGCGACTGCTGTTCCTCAAACAGCATCTAAAATAGAGTTAATACATCACACAAGTTAGAATTACAGAAACACACACAAAAATCCCTAAGGAGAAAAGTTATGTATAAATTAGAGAACATTACTTAAGTCCTGTCACAGAATTCCTCAAGTTGAAATGATTATGTTTTG